AGCAGATTTAAGAAATATTTAGCAGGAAAATAAACTGGATTGACAGAATATATGGTGTGTGTGTGTGTGTGTGTGTGTGTGTGAGAGAGAGACAGAATGTGAATGTTTAAGTATGTGTATATTGATGAGAAAGCTACAAAGTGTCAAGAGTAAGGCCAGACTTCTGGTATGAGCTTAAATGAGAGGTCTGAAATCAGGATATAAATTTTGGAGTTTTGTTGTATACATGATCTTTCAAGGGAATAATTAGAATCATGCAGAAAGGGAAAAGACGGTGTAAGTCCTGAGAACATCCAACAGTTAACCTCTGGGTAGAAGAAAGGACCATGAAGGGGTACTGAGAAAGACACACCAGAGAGGGAAGAAAACCCTCAACTCTGCGGTGTCAGGGAAGCCAGGCAGAGAGCGTTCCAAGGAAGGAGAGGCCGAACATGTGGGTCAACAAAGCAAAGCAAGGTTTACTTTAAAAAATCTGCTACTTCTCCTGTGGTAAAGCTGTATTTTAGAGTAAAGATAAATCATCCTCACTCTCATTAATCCTGGATAATTAAGACCTGATAAGGATAAAGAATCTGTAATCTTTCAGTCATATATCATCCATGAAGAACTTACTCAAATATTTTTACAAACAGTAATGATGAGGCCAAAAGAATAAAGTCTGATTTTCTAGATGCCGGTCCTGAGGAAGCACCTTACAAGCTAAATATTTCCACAATTAGCTCATCAGTTAGCTGGCAAAAATAAAGACTCCAATAAATGCTACCAAGAGCTACTTTTAACTTTGAAGTAACTAATGAAAATACTCACTTGACCTGGTTTGGGCCAACATGTATTATCCTACCAGAAGCATCGGGATGAAAATAGATCCAGTCAGATTCTAGAGAACAACACTCCATTTCTTGGATCCCATTTTTTGCCTGATGTTGGGAAAAAATATTGAAAATACACATTAAGGGAAAATAATTTTTCAAATTTAACATCAGCAATAGATCAGTAGGTCAAGGGTACAGGGAAGAGAAAAATATTAACCAGTTGAACTGGGAGGTATATAAAGGCTGAATTATGATACTTGAGATACCCTGAACATTTAGATTCAGAAATTTCATACCATACATTATACGTTATAAATAAGTTACAGTTACCATATCTCAAGCATCCAATTAGTGTCAGGTACTGCATTAGATGAGTGATAGTCATTATTTCCTTTGATCTTAACATTCAAAGCACACATTGTTATCCCGAGTTTGTGGATAAGGAAACATATACAAAGTAGATAAATCACTAGCTTACTGTTTGCACCTACTAAACAGCAGATCTGACTCTAAAGTCCACAGGCTCTCCGTTATGTAACTCGGATGCCATCATGCACATGCAGACCCCTACAACTTCTTCCTTCCTTCCCACCCCCCAACAAACTGGCAGTCAGAAGAGCGGGTACTGCAAAAATACTGTGAACATGAAGCCAAACCTAAAACTTCAGACACGGGTCACATAAGCTCCTTGGATAAGTCAGATACTAAACTCTAATCCTGAGAAAATGGTCTGATGTTGCTTAGCTTTTAAGGAAAGTAGATTTATTTATTTCACAGTAGTATATTTAGACATTAAAATAGAGAAAAATATACCCCATGATATGGGATCACGTATGAGCCTAAATGTTTTACCTGACACAAAAGAGCACTGGGAACTAATACCAGCATGGATACACTAACTTCACTAGCTTTACTCAAGTCACTTAAGTGCTTCAGTGTAAAATGAAACAATAACATCTTTCCTATTAGATACTCATAAAAGTTTTTGGAATATTAATTTATTAATCTATTAGCATATATTGACAGTACACTATGTTTTAGGTATCACACTAAGCATTCATACCTGACATGAACTAAACATACTCCTTCCCAAGTAGCCCACAGTCAAGAGGGAGGGCAGAACCACGAACAGAAAATAATAAAGCCATGTACACAACGAAGTGATCAAGCCATGCATACAATATTATCCAGAATCCAACCTATGTGAGCAAAATTTCAGGAAGGAAAAAAAGCTTGAACTGAACTGTAAACGATGAGCAGAAAATGACTAGAAAGAAGAGACAGCAAAACCAAAAGCACAGACATATTAATCCATATAGCATTTGTGTGCATAAACATGAGTTTATTTTAGAAGTAAAGGGATTTAACATTTCTTATGTATCAAACTAGCCAATGAGTTTTAATTTTTCAAGAATTTTTATAAGTATCCTAATATGTTCTAAGAGGAATGGTTGTATTATTACATTTTATATATAAGAAAATCAATGTAACTAAATATCTTGTTTGCAACCACTGAAATTAATGTGTCCATGATGGTGTTAGCTATAGAGGTTCCTTTAATATATAAAACATGTGCATGCTATACTATACATATCTTGCTTTAAGAGATTCTTCTCTTTATTAAAACATCTATAACATGCAAGAGAAACATTATCTCTCTTTGTGTTAAATACTAGACAGCATTATTACCTTCTGTAGTTTTCATTATTTTCTCAACTGCTAGAATTTAAAGTCAAACAGAAAGCTATGAAACATTTTCTGAATTCTTCAGTTTGGCTGCTCGTTTTTGGGTTATCTACTCTTCATTCAGACTCCAAGTGGGGAGGTAATGGGCATATGCACAGTTATAATGTCACTGCAACAAAGCTGTCTGGCAAAAGGATTAAAAACTTCTCCTGGATTTCACAATCATTTATGAGTATGTTGAAATGCATATCTGACTAAACGTTGTAATAGTTATTGTAGAAAGAGGGTACGTGACAGGCAAGCTTGATATAGATGTTGAAGGCCATTTATATATGTGTATTATCAGTTCTTATATAAGATGAATATGTCCTAAATATCAAAAAGTGAACTGTGCAGGGTTTGAATGGATTGAAAAGTTAAGTGAAAAAGAGATGTGACAGGTCCTGGTGGCTGAGGGATGTCCACTGGCTGAGAAGTGAACAATCAAACCACAGACTTGTCTTGGTGGGAACCAGCCTCTAGAGAATCCATTGGGAAAGAAGTAATCACTGGGATGGGACAAACCACAGGTGTCACAGTTAACAGGTGAATGCAAAACTGGAAGGGAACAAAGACATTACATACAGTGTTCCCTGGTGATGACATCAAGGGAAATGGATAAACTGACCCAAGACTGTGCTGATCTTCAGCATGTGAAAGGTGACCTGTGACTCTAAAAGCCACTGGTCACTCTAACAAAGATCCTGGAAAAATAGAATAAGCTGAGTCTGCCTCAGAAAAAGTATGTCCATTGGGTGTATCAAGAGGTTCCGGAAGTAAACTAAATTAGCAAATATAAAACAAAGATGTAGCTCCCTCCTCTGTGTACTCACTCTTTTGCATTTATCTCAATCACTGTACTTAACAGACTGCATTTTTATGTTTGTTTTCTTTTGAGAGTATAAGCAACTTGAAGGGAGAGAAGGTATCTCCAGACATGTCTGGCACACAGTAGGACCTCAGTAATGTTTATTAAATGGCAAATCAATCCCTCTATCATTTTTTAACAGAAAATGAAGAAAAGTTAATTCAAGGGACAGACCTTTCTATTGTCTTACCATGTACTGTATCTTCCTATTTTGCCATGAAAGACTTAGGAATATCCTTGAAAATGCAAAGTGTTTCAATGCTTACATTGTGACCATAAGAGTTCTGTTTGGCCCTGCTCTGGAGAGCAAATAGCAACAAACCTTGAAAAAGCAGAACCAACAATACATTCCACCAGCAATTTCAGCAGCAACCTCAACAATGTTCTATCAGTAATTCCCAGAGTGGAGGTTCACAGATGTTTTGTATGAAATTTCTTGCTGGAAGATTCTAAAGAAAAAAACCTAAGAAATCTTTGGTGCCCTCTGAATCTTCAAGTGTTGATGTTTTTAAATTCTGGGTAGTACACAAAAATGTTTGCTATATTCCTTGTATTCTTCCGTATTTTACATTGTTCATAAACCATTAATACAAATAAAAAAGTAACTCTTAGGAATGTAGACCTATTAGAGAAGAAGAGAACAAAGAATTACTGATACAAATTTGCTACTAAAAAGTCTGATCACTCATGATTTACCAAGGAATTGTCTTTTAGGGCACAAATATGGAACACTCCTTTCTGTTTCTTCTTATTAGGCGTGATGATGTAGTGCCAAGGGTAGCCTCCAATCTGAAAAGCATTCTCCAGGGAGGACACCTCAAAGAGCATTGGTGGCATATCTGTAGAGATGGACAAAGGAATTTATTGGCTTCTCTGCCTGGCAGTCTTAGAAAATTGTTAAATGAATTCAATTTCTTTGCATGCATCATCTATGAATTTCCATTACTGAAAAATCACTATGTTCTAGGAAATAAGATACAATCAGGAAGGAAACTTATTGCTAAGGAAAGGGGAAGCTGGTCAGAAGCAAATGGTAGACCCTGAGTCAACTTTCTAGATATCTATTTTCAGGGTATGCATACTCCGCAGCTGACTGGAGATAAAAAGTGGGTTGAAGGTGCTTACAGTGGCAAAAAATGACAAAATGCGCTTAATAAAAGTAGCTGTCATTTACTAGGCATTTGCTATGTACAAGACTCTGGGTTAGATACTATTTCCAACTCTCATAACAATCCTACAAGGTAATTAGGTCTAATAATTCCTTCAAATATAAGGAAGAGATCTTCCATATTGTAGACTAACAGACTATACTTAGCAAACTTTACAAGGTCAGTCTTAAGATTTCCAATGTAGAAATGATATTAGTCATGAGTGTAACCTCTTAGGACAAGTCCTGTCACAGTGGAAACTTCATTAAAGGATAGCCACAACTGCTAGTACTATCATTAGACAAGTTAACTTTAAGGTAGTTTAGATACATGTAGTCAGTCAGTCATTGTCTTTTGGAGATTGACACCATAGAACAAATTATCTGTTGGTACTTCTTAGTCTTCTTTGATGACAATTTTAGGTAGAATGCAACAGATTTACTCTTAGAGAAACGTGTAAGTGGAAGGTACTGCAGCTGCAGAAGGCCAGAACTCCTTTTGGGCAGCCCGTGGGGGACACCACATGGTCCGTTTGGGCAGGTGGATAATATGACTCTTCTGTTTACCCTTCTAACTTGCGAGTTTAATCTCTGGTTTACGAGGCCACCACTATCAGTAAAGAGGCCTGCCTCAGGGAGACCTCAAGAGTCACATGTTACATATAGAAGTGTGTGCATTACTGGATCTCTTCATAAGGACAATTTGCCACTAAGTGCTAAACATAGGAGAAAAACAATGAAAAGTTGAGTCCACAAACTGACAAGCTTGAGGAGAAAGAAGAGACAGGCATAAACATGTCAAATATATTTAAAGTGCTTTTTTTAAACCTTTTAAGAAAAGGGTAATGTTCTTTCCTATAAAGAGATCTTTTCAAATAATAAGAAAAATTTGAATACCTCAACAGAAATACGGGCAAAGGATATCAGGTAAATTATGAGAGAAATATAAACAACACATGTGATAATACAGTGGCTACTAAATGATGGTGGATGATAAAGAATTATAAAAAGAAAAAATACAATTAGAGTTTGAATTTGGAGTTAAAGTTTTAAGTAGGTAATTTATAGACAATATAAAGTGTGTATTCAAAATAGAAAAACAATGCAAAAGAAGTTTTTAAAAATAAATACTTTTTCCAGCAGTTGCTAAAAATGGCCCAAAAGTAGCAGCACAACTCTGCTCACAATGATGGATCCCTGCTAGCCCTAAGAGCACAAATTTTGATTTCTAATACTATTCTCAAGTAAAAAAGTCCTAGAAGTTCTCAGGGAGTAGCTAATTCCACATCTTGTGGTGAGGAATTTTAGGATAGGTCTGAAACCCACAGTTGTTGCTATAAAGGATGTTTATAAGGATGACAGTATAGTGTTGAAAGAATAAAATAAGCAAATGTTCCTACTGACTAGACTGCAAAAATGGAAGCATTAAAAAGAAAATAATAATCATTAATCATGCTTTGAGTCTATGAAAACTCAAACATGGATACTTCAGAATTTATAATAAGGTTAAAAGAAACGCTATCATAGGATATGACTTTTCTGTAATTTTAAAATATAGGGGGTATATAGGAAAATGCAAACCAAAACCATAATGAGACTATCATCTTACACGTCAGAACAGCTATTATCAAAAAGACAAGAAACAACAAGTGTTGGTAAGGATGCAGAGAAAAGGGAACACTAATGCACTGTTTGTGGAAATGAAAACTGGTGCAGCCACTGTGGAAAACAGTATGGAGGTTTCTCAAAAAATTAAAAACAGAACTAACATATGATCCAGCTATTCCACTACTGGGTATTTATCCAAAGAAAATGACAACATGAATCTGAAAAGATATCTGCAACCCTATAGTCACTGCAGCATTTTTTTTATCATAGCCAAGATATGGAAATAACCTAAATGTCCATGATAAGGAAATGGATAAAGATGATGTGGTGTATATACATATATACATATACTTATAATGAAATACTACTCAGCCATAAAAAAGAATGAAATTTTGTCATTTGTGACATCATGGATGGATCTAGAAGGTATTATGCTAAGTAAGTCAGACAGAAAAAGACAAATACCAAATGATTTCACTTATATGTGGAATCTAAAAAATAAAACTAAATACAAACAAAATCAAACCAAATGCTTATGTACAGAGAATAGATTGATTGTTATCATAGGGGAAGGAGGTTTTGGGGTACATAAAATGGGTAAAGGCGATCAATTGTATGGTGATGGATGTTAACCAGACTTATTGTGATGATCACTCTATAATGTATATAAAAATCAAATTATTATATTATACACCTAAAAAAATGTTATATTCCAGTTAGACTTCAATAAAAAAATAACATATATCTTCACTTAAATAAATGTTTAAAAATTCAGATATGTTTTAGGTAAAATACAAGGAACAGAACAGAATATAAAATACTATATTTGGTGTAAGAAATAAAGTAATATCTAAAAGATTCATATACATATTTTCTTCCTTTTATAAAAAGGAACAACAGAAAGATAACCTAGAAACTAAAAATAACGGTTACTTATGGGGGCAGGGTGGGATGGGAAGAGGGAAGTAACAGAATGGAAGGACTACGTGTGGAATATTTCTCAGAACATGTCTTTTTACATAGCTTTGACCTTTGAAACATATACATTTTTAAATTGAAGAATAGTTGATATAAAATATTGTATTAGTTTTAGGTATAAAACATAGCGATTCAACAATTATATACACTGCAGAATGATCACCAAAGTTAAGTGTAGTTACTATCACCATACAAAGTTATTACATTATTAACTATTTTTCCTAGGCTGTACTTGTCATCCATATGACTTATTTTATAATTGGAGGGTTGTACCTCTTTATACTTTTCCTTTCTTTTGCTCATTCCCTACTCCCCTTCCTCTATGTCAACTACCAGCTTGTTCTCTGTATTTAATAGTCTGTTTGTCTTGTTTATTCATTTGAAACACATACATTTCACAATTTCAAGAATAAAGTAAAAGGAAAAAAGCAAACCAAAAATTGAAAACAAAGTAAAACAAATGAACACAATTATATAAAACGGGTAACCTAATGACAGAGAAAAATAATTTCAAATAATCTTTGAACACATACTCTGATAGTACACTTACTGGGATATACACTAAGGACAAAAGTATCCACAGAGATATTCTAATTTTTACTGCACACATTAGTTTTTAGTAGTAGCACTGATATGGCAATTTTAAGACTATTATATACTTAATAGGACAAAATTTTATTAGGAATCAAGAAGTTCAGTAGAAGCCAAAAGAAATATGATAGTACACTTACTGGGATATACACTAAGGACAAAAGTATCCACACACATATTCTAATTTTCACTGCACATGTTAGTTTTCAGTAGTAGCACTGATGTGGCAATTTTAAGACTATCGTATACATTATAGGACAAAATTTTCTTAGGAATCAAGAAGTTCAGTAGAAGTCAAAAGAAATACAAAGTCAAAGAAGAGTTAAATTGGAAGCATAGGAATGAATTTTTGTTTCAATAAATTTCCCAGCTCTGTTATTTGAAAAACTAAGATAGCTGTTTGCAAAGAGCCCTAGATCTTGGTCTTTACTATGAGCTGAGCTATGCTCCTCAAAAAACTATGCTGAAGTCCTAACCCCTAGTATCTATGAATGAGACTTTACTTGGGAAGAGGCTCTCCGCAGATGTAATAAATTAAGATGAGGTCACACTGGATGAAGGTGTGCTTAAATCCCCATGACTGTGTCCTTATAAGCGATCTGAAGACACCAAGGACAGAAGCCCGTATGAAGACGGGCAGAGTCGTGGAGCCATGCTGCCAAACAGCACGGAAGGCCAAGGACTGCCAGCAACAACCAGAAGCCAGAGAGGCAAGGGAGGATTCTTTCCTAGAGTCTTCAGAAGGAAATTGCCCTGCCATACCCTGATTTTGGACTAGTTGTCTCCAAGACTGCTGGAGAATAAATTTCTGTCATTTAAAGCTACCCAGTTTGTGGTGTTAGAGCAGGCCTAGGAAACTAACAGTCAATAATGATGTTCTCTACTAAAATGGCTCCTTGTCAGATGTAGGATTGGAAAATAAAAAGTAAGCCTAGGATAGTATTGTTCCAGAAAGCAAGGAAATTCTCTAAGACCATTGGGTATGTCAAAATGGAGTTCTTAATGCAAAATTTGGGACAATTTGAATATCACAAAAATAATGATAGTAACTATATAATATTAGATAAATAAAAATCCACAAGTTTAATGTGTCTATATGTTTATCTCTAAAATATTTTGCCACTATTAGAAGTGACTATTACACCAACTGACTGACTGAATATTGGTAATTAAAGGGAAGGAGTAAGTATTTACCTTGACATTTTAGGAGGAATTATAGCTCATCATTTGTGATGAGTCAAAGTTTTTCTTTATAAAAAATGTCAGTTACTAAGGGTAAAAGAAATGATAGAATTTTAAAAACTGTCATTCTGCAACCTATGACATAATTGTTTCAGGCAAAGATCATTAACAGTTACAGGAGTATTCTTATTATTTATATAATCACAGAAAATTAAAAACAACCTAGATGTCTAAAGTAGTAAATTGGCTAAATAAACTTACAGTTCATCCATAAAATGGTATAGAAGTCTTCTCAAAAATTCATGTGTCATGTGCATATACAAGTAAGCCACA